ATTTAGGTCGCTTATAAGTTCTTGTAGTTCTGTAGGATTATTAGCAATCAGAACGATGTCGTCTGCAAATCTTAGATGGCTGAAGTATTATTCATCAATGGATATTCCTTTGTTTTGCCAGTTCATTTTGTTGAATATATTTTCTAGAGTTGCAGCAGTTGCAGTTTTCTATAGTTGCTAGCTTTGGCTAGAAAAAGTGTTTTCATAAGTTTTTACCTTAGTTTTTACCTTTTTACCTTACTTTTTTGTCTGTATATATTTGCTAAAGTTTCTATGTACGGTTTTGCAATGCCTTGGGTGGTCAAAGCTTCTATTACTGTCTTGGGATATATAGAATCAAAAGCCTTCTCCAAATTTATGAAGGTTAATGGTAGCGATATTTCATATTCTTTAGCTTTACTCATTAGTTCTCGAAGTGTATGAATATGATATATGGTACTGAATCCACTTCTGAAGCCAGCTTGTTCTCTCGGCTCTGCAGCATCTAATACGTTTAATAATCTGTCGTTGATAATATTTGTGAATATATTGTATACGATTGGTATTAGACTTATAGGTCTGTAGTTTTTGATATCCTCTTTGCTACCTTTTTTATAAATTTTGATAAAAGTTTTTTATGTAATATAACCTTTTAGACTTACTTTGTCAAATTTGGCCTATCCAACAATCTACTGAGAATGTCATAAACATAAAATTGTACATTACCACTAAACGAAATAAGGACAAACAGTTTAAATTTTTTTTAAAACGGCGAATCTACATATTGGTTGGCATCAGGAGAGAGAATGGCTCCTGGACAACTTCATGGGCAGTCACAATCATGGTGATGTGATCTGCACATTTCAAAATTCTATGAAACTGTTCATTGACCAAAGGTCCAACTTACACATGATATTGTTCTGAAGCTATTTTCTTGTGGCATTGTAAATTAATTACTATTTAACTGGGAATAAGCCACAATTAAAGATAAAAATACGTTTATTGATATAAGTAAAGTCGTCCCAGGAACGCAACTCAACAATATTGGCAATATCATTTTAAAGTCGTCTACTTTAAAATGCATAATGTATGTCTGAATTGTCAATATAAATGAGTCAGATAAAATTAAATTATTAGAATTTTTCACTATGTAACAAAAAACAAAATTTGTTTAATTTACTGTTTGTATTTTGAGAACGATTTCCGAAGTGGAAATTGAAACGTCAATAAACGTATTTTTATCTTTAATTGTGGCTTATTCCCAGTTGAATAGTAATTAAATTACACATGATACTATAACAAAATAAGATAAGTCAACGCGCAAGTTTTTGTGACGTAATCCAACTTTAATGACGGTTAGTTAAATGCTTATAACTGTTCATGTTAATTATGTTGCTGTGTTAATCGAGTTTGCTATCCTGTGTATTTCAAAAGGTAGCGAATAATATTTTTAGTTATTCATTGATGTAGTGAAGACTTTGTTGGTTTTAGACACACTTTAACAGCAGAGCAAATGTTTCTATAGATGATAATAAATGTTTCTATGGATAATAATATATTAATGCCCATTTTAATAGAACTAGTATATAGTGAACTGGAACATATTTTTCGTAGTTATAATGGCGAGACATTAAAAATAACAAAAAAATATTTAAAAAACTTAATAGAAGCTGCAAAATATGTAAATGTTTATTGATATAAATTGATATTATGTGATAATTACAATATCCGCAAGAAAAAAATCACAGAGATTGTAAAATAAATGTCTGTAAAAAATAAATTGTAAAATAAAACGATTCACCTTCATCTAAGGTGAATCGTAGATGCATGTTGAAATAAAACGATACTTCTAGCGTCGTTAAAAGCCTCTAGCAAGAGGCTTTGAATTTGCGGTTCACCTAATTTGCTATCAGAGAGGTCTTTCGACTTCTTGTTATTTCGTATAGATGTCACTGCTAGCGTACCCTGGATTTTGGTTATAATGACCAAATACTAGACTGCATTTCATTACAGTTGAACTTCCACAAGTGCTCCTGACGATGGGTTGAATAGCCAGAAAAACACATGTCTGGCAATGGTAGAGTTCCGATATATGTTATATCAATGGTGTTCCGGGTTTGACTCCGCGTTAAATGTTGTTGGTTTTGATAAAAACCATTTTGACGACGTTTCGGCAAGATCTCACTTGCCATTTTCAAGTCTCTCTGGATGGTCTGCTCTTGTCGATGTTCGAGTGGAAGTGCCACTCGAACTGGAAGTCTTCACTTTCACTCGAACATCGACAAGAAGCAGACCATCCAGAGAGACTTGAAAATGGCAAGTGAGATCTTGCCGAAACGTCGTCAAAATGGTTTTTATCAAAACCAACAACATTTAACGCGGAGTCAAACCTGGAACACCATTGATATAACATACAGCTCCCGCGGAAATATCAAAACTAACATATTTCCTTTTTATCACGATAACACACCTTCCCATATACATCTAAATACTTCAGCGTAGCTAACCGCCAACATTGCAACTTTTCCAACGTCCCTCGAAGCTAAGTACTTCTAAGTAATACTATGAATCTGTTATGTTAATGCCTGATTCACACCGCAGGCGTAGATTAAAAACTACACAATAATTACACTATAAATTAAAAAAATTACGAAACAACAGAAAAAGAGATATTATCCAGTCCATATCACCGCAAACTTTGGAAGAATACTTTAAAGATTTACTAACAGAGACAAGAGAGCCCTTCAATAAGCTAGAAAACTATGGCCTACAAGGCGTCAGGCTGATAGGATCACCAATCAAAATAAATGAGAGAGAAGTCGAACCCGTATGCAGACATCAAAAGAATGGCAAATCCTATCCAAATATAAAAAAAAATTAATTCAACGGCTGCGACAACTTTTCCAGGAATGCATAAATAAACATGAAATACCTGAGGAATGAAAATAATCGCATATGAGCACCATCCATAAAAAGGGAGATAAATCGAAACCGGAAAACTATAGAGGAATTGCAGTTACTAGTAGTATTAACAGAATATATGAGAAAACAATAAAAAATCGAATAGAAGAATACCAAGATATGGAAGCCGAAGAACAGGCTGGTTTTCACGCAGGTCGATCTACAATAGACCATGTCTTCTCTATTACTCAGATAATTCGTGGTCAGGAAGTCCACCTGACGTTCGTAGACCTTAGGAAAGCATATGATAGTGTCCCGCTTGATAAATTATGGGAGGCACTGGGAAAAACAAATATAAATATAGAATTGATTGAAGCGGTAAAAACGTTGTACTACCAACAAACAACAAGAATTAAAACAGGAAATATAATAACACCGGAATTCAAAGTGACTAAAGGACTAGTACAAGGATGCTGTATATCCCCAACATAATTCAAAATATACCTCGAAGCAGCACTCAACAAATGGAAGAAAAAATGTACGAATATGGGCATACTACTAATGGACTTAACTTTGTACACTCTGTGCTTTGCGAATGACCAGGTCATTATCGCACATTACTCTGAAGACCTTAGTTACATGATGCGAAAACTATTAGATGAGTTTACAGAGTGGGGTTTGGAAGTGAATATGGAAAAAACTGAGTACATGGGTGTCTTTGTTGTAAAGGAGAATCAAGAGATCAAACTATGTGATGGCTACAAATACCTAGGAGTAAAGATCACTCAGGACGGAAAATTAGATGCAGCCATTAAGGAACGAAATACAAAGGGAAGGAAAGGCATAGCCTTACTGAACAGCGCACTGTGGGATAAAAACATCTCTAAGGAAAATAAAAGAAGAATATACAACACCATAATTAAAAGTATCACAACATATGGATGCGAAGTGTGACCCCTAAAAGACAGAACAGAGAAAATGCTTAGAGCAACAGAAATGGACTTCTGGCGCCGCTCGGCGGGAATCTCTAGACGCGACAGAATAACAAACGAGAGAGTCCGAGAAATCATGAGGGTTACACATAATATTGTTGATGACATCAAAACGACACAACTCAGATGGTACGGACACGTAAGGAGAATGCCGGAGAATAGAATACCAAGACAAATTCTTGAAATGGCAACCAAGAGGTAGGCGGGGACCAGGAAGGCCTAGAAGAATGAATTACACTATATCAGTAGGGCACATAGAATTTTCCTGTTGGGGGGAGGAGTAGGGGTTTGGTTCGGCACCGAAATTTTTTTATGCTACCTTCATTTTGAGTCCTTGAAATTTAAGAGTAACAGTGTCCGAATAGTGTCCTGTGAGGGGGGTTTCACCCCAAAACTCCCCTGGGTGCTCCTCTGCACTATATAGTAGTTTTTAATCAATGCCTCAAGTAAACAACGCCGACGCCAGCCTAGCGGAAAAGCGACTAGTCCTTTCTAGACCTGAGGAGCAGGTATCTGCGTGACGTCACGAAAAAGTCATACTATTTCTAGTACATTTAATAGAAAATAGGAGAACAGCATGGAATTGGCTCTAAATTATATAAATATGAAACTAAATTGGATTTAGTTGGTCTGAATGTATTGTTGGGAAATATAAACTTGTAATGCTGCAACACTACTAACGACAACATATAACAACTACTAGAACCTATGCATAAAATATGACCTTGTGCATAATTGGAATGTTTATAAAGTATTTTATGACTCTTATTCAATATGTAATTTAAGAGTTACAAGGGACAATACAGGGTTAAAAAAATGAGCCTACGTCTTTTCACGGAAACAGATGTCTACAAACACTATTAGTATATTAAAATCTTTTTTAGTCGAAAAAAATTTAATTGCGTTTTCTTTGTAAGGCTACGTAGATCGAACAACTATATCCTTATATAAACAACTAAACGAAACTTTTCATAAAAAATTTCGGACCAAACCAGCTCCAAGAAATTTTACAGTGTACCAGAATGTAAAATTTATCACAATTACATTAAATGTAGTGCGTCTTTCAGCCCTAAATTGATTTTAACCGCACACAGTTTGCTGCAAATAGGTTTTGAACAAGTTAAAGCCCAGGCGAGTGTGAAATTGAACTTGAGAAACTGTATAAATATCACATCATCCGACTACGTCCTCCATAACGACGCAGAACACAACAACATACAAGACCTAATCATTGTACACCAACTTGACCACACAAGCCACCTCGAAAGACGAGAAATAGTCCTCAGTTCCTGTCCAACATGTTGCCGTTTGAAAAACTCATTTGCAGTAAGTCCGTCTGGATTATTTTTATTTGTTTGACTTCCACTACTTTTGGATTCTTGGAGAATTTAAGCAGAAATGACATCAACCGCAGGAATGTCCGAGGAAGCCGTGCGTCAGTGGAGAGCTTCGTCGAAGAGATGCCCTTTCGAAAAGACACCAGGGGGCAGGTCAACGAGAAAGACAGAATTTATGAAAACTTATATGACAGGCGAAGTTTTAGAACTGGAACTGATAGGTAAGTAACTTTTTCTTTATATGCTGATTTCTATCTATTATACTCATATCTTTATCATCTTTACCAGTTCGGTGCTTTGTACTTTGTACATTATATCGTTACATATTATATGTGATTTATTTTTTCTTTTTGCTAAGAAATACAAGCATTTCTTAAAATCTAAAAGAGATTTGTTAGGTTTATTCGAAAGATGTTGATCATTGTTTAGTCTTTTTTAGAACTGCCTTTGTAATATATATTCTAAAATTGGAGTTATTATATATTTTATTTATTTATTTCACAACAAACACATTTTACGGAAAAAAATTAATTACATATTATTATTATTATTACATCATACATTATGGATAGAATATGGATTATTTCGGATAGTATGTTACTATTAACACTTTGATTTATTATCCACAGAGATAATATCTATCTTTATCTTTGAAGAATACATTTCACCTCCGCTCCTTGGTGTCATATATTTTGGAATCAGCGATTATCACAGCATTTTAATCCTTAAATTTTGTACATATCAACCAAATCGACAGCTTTATAACGACTATTCCATCTGTATACACTCTTCCACTACGAACCCTCTTGTTCATCTGCTAAAGTTATCCTCTTATTTATTAGCATTTGTAAAACTTTAATCGTAAGTTTTAGTACAGTATTTAACAAGCTTATACCTCTGTAGTTTTCTGGCCGTTTTTTATCTCTTTTTTGTTCTGTGTTTATTGTTCTGTCATTTCTGCTCCACAATATTCCAGTAACTCCTTTGGTATCCCGTCTTTACCTGCTGCGTAGATCGAACAATTCAAATATGTAATCCATCTTCTGTATAATAGAGAAGCTCCCCTAAATATAATAAAAACTATCGAAAACATCTACCTTGTAAATACAATACATTTGGGAAACGGCTATCACCGTATTCCCGTTCTTCTCCGCTCCGCCAATCTTCCCGGTCCAAGGCATGCTCCTCCTCCAAACCTCTAGGTTCTATCGCTCTTCTAATTCCTTCATTCCATGAGTGTCGAGATCTACCTCTTTTTTTTCAGGTGGCTTCCATCTGTGAATAGCGTTCGTGTTATTTCTTATAGATTCTTTGGACTTTCTTTCCAGTCTTGATGTTTTAGCACTTCTTCTCAAATAGTCCCTTTCAACTGCCAACAATCTCCTCTTCAGGTCTGCATTAATTGTCCATACTTCAGAGTCATAACAAAGAAGTAAGTCAACCATGGTTTGCCCTATTATTTTTTTGTTCCTTTTGGAATTGTTGCGGTCCCACCATAAGGAGTTCAGACATCCTACAATTTTACGTCCCTGATTAATTCGGTGTTTAATTTCGGTTTCTCCCAAGCTGTTCTTATCAATGAGTGCACCTAAATATTTAATATTAAATATTTAAATCTTTAATATTTTATGTTTATAATATCAAATTTTTTCTCTAGATTCACAAACCGAAACACTGATATCCAACCTGATCGTCTGAACCATAACTGGAATGACGAACGAGGAGCACTAAACGACCGAGACCTTCTTACACCAGCTACTGGCATAACTATTACTATCAGAAGCGTTCCCAATGAACGAAGAAGCCGGGATGTAAGAATAGATGAAGAACAACGTGTCAGAAGCATCAATAACCGACCAGAAAGATTATTTCGTGATGATCGACGATCAAGAAGTACAAGAGAAAATAAAGTACAACGAGAAAGCCGCGAAGACAACTTGTCCGATGACAGAATGAAGAATATCAGAGAAAACCAACCGAAGTCTCTTAACATTCGTAAGGAGAACATGTTTCGAGAGACTTTATCCAGAGAAAATAGACAACAAGACCAATATATAAGACAAGTAACATCCAGGAATAATAGACAAAGAGAACTTCGCAAAAATTATGACCGTCGTCTAAAAAACAGAGACCAGCGCGTTGAAAGGAATATGGGAGCCAGCCAAGAACGCGTAAACGAACAAAGACAACTTCAAGAACGTCGAAAGGAAACCCAAGTTAGAAATTACCGAGAACAAAGCCATGAACGAATTTTAAAATTACGTAACGAAGATTTCAGTGCATCACGATATGAACAAAACTTATTAAATAGTGGGCGGAGGATTGAAAATCGGCAAAGGAATATAGAAAACTATGAACGTAGCCAGGAAAAGCGAGAAAGAATTCTAGAGGGGACTTTTAGTTACAATCAGTACAACAATTTGAATGAAAATAGAAAAGGACATCAAGAGAAACGAACAACTTTTAAAACTACAATAAATGCACGATCATTACGAAATCGCTCAACAAGACGTTTCCGTAATAGCCAAGAAAGAAGTATAGAACGGGTGCCCAATAGTTATAGAGACCCCAATCAACATCACGTGGAAAGAAGAATCTCGGATAGAGATCTTCGCTCAGTAAGATATAGCATAACTCGCAACAATAGAAGCAACGGTTATCATTCGATGCAATTTTTAGATGCCAACATGAATGAAATCAGGCAAAATCGTGAAAGAAACGTCAACATCGCATCTAAGGACAGATTAGACCTCTACAGGGAACACGAAGAAAGAAATCAACGCGAACGCGAACGACAATTCGCCATAGAACATATCCATCATGGATATATCGACCGTAGCAGATATTCTAGAAGATATGGTGAAAGTCACTATCGCTATGATAATGCTTACTCCAGAAACTTTAATATGCCATCATGGTCAATAAGAAATCTCCCACTAAGAGCTAGCTTAGCCCGAAGTGACTCCGCTAGGCAAGCAACAGAAGCTCGACCCAATTCCGGTATTTCTGAGCAGGAAACTTCAACTTGCATATCAGTCCAAAGGAATATTAAAAAGCAAATACCAATACAAAGGAATATCAGAGAGAACGATGCTCGAGTGAAAAACCTGACTAAACAAACACGTGACGCTTTAGCTGTGTCGCTTTCTCACAATTCCATTGAAATACGATCTGTACCAGTTGTAAAATTCTTACCAAACAGTAGAAGATATGCTGAAGAACATATAGATGTTCAATATCACAAACACAACTTTAGGTTTGACGTTTTGGTTAACGTGATTCAAGTCATTCTTGGTGTTTACTTGATTGGGCAAATCTTAGCGCACTCTTCAAAGAAGAAGTCCTCTGGGTAAGTTTTTATTTTATATTAATATATTTAAAACCGTAAAATAGTTTCGAAACACAATTCAGATTTCCGCTTTAATCTGGGCTTTCTAAAAATTGCAAAGCAAAACAGACGTTGATAAAGGTGTTAAAAGAGACGTGGGGAATCTAAAGTTTGCATTCCATGACACGTCTTATCAACTAAGCAGAAATCCTTAGCGAATTGGTTTCTAGTACTCGTACAGAGTAAATCCGAAAAAAAGTGAAAAGACAGCAAATATTTGATTTCACGCAAAAAGCGCCTTTGTATCTGTTGATACGTATTTCGACCTAATAGGTCTCATCAGAACAGTTATTCAAAGGTGTTCTTAACGTGAAAGATCAATATTTTCTGTCTTTTAAGAAGCAACACTAAAATGGCTTCAATAGGGACGCAATAGCGACATCTGACAATAAAACCGTAAAATAGTTTCGAAACACAATTCAGATTTCAGCTTTAATCTGTGCTTTCTAAAAATTGCAAAGCAAAACAGACGTTGATAAAGGTGTTAAAAGAGACGTGGGAAATCTAAAATTTGCATTCCACGACACGTCTTAGCTTATATGGAATGCAAATTTTAGATTTCCCATGTCTCTTTTAACACCTTTATCAACGTCTGTTTTGCTTTGCAATTTTTAGAAAGCACAAATTAAAGCGGAAATCTGAATTGTGTTTCGAAACTAATTTTACGGTTTTATTGTCAAACGTCGCTATTACGTCCGTATTGAAGCCATTTTAGTGTTGCTTCTTAAAAGACAGAAAATATTGATCTTTACGTTGAGAACACCTTTGAATAACTGTTCTGATGAGACCTATTAGGTCGAAATACGTATCAACAGATACAAAGGCGCTTTTTGCGTGAAATAAGATATTTGCTGTCTTTTCACTAATATATTTAAATTACAACACATCCATTCAAGATTGGTGAAATATTGCCATTCATTGCAAACATTTGCCATTCAAGATTGGCAAAAATTTTAATATCTTACCTATGCCATAAATTCATGGGAAAACATTCATAGACGGATACGCGAAGAAACAGAAATATGAAAAAATCAGTTTGGATTTGTTTAAGTCCGATCAACAAAAGGTTATAAAACAACCAATAGGAAAATAAAGAAACAAAACATTTGCATTTCTTTCGTTTAAAACACAGAAAATTTAATAAAATATTCGTTTTTAATTTTAATATGTAATATGGATACGTTCTTTTGTTACAGGTTGTATAAGATATTTCCCACTTTAAGCGCCATCAAAGAAAAACTAGAATAGATCCTTACTTTTAATGATCATTTTCTTAAGAACGCCAACGTCTTGAACTGATGACAACCGCCATGCTCTAAGGTACCTATCCGTAGCTTAACTTTAGCTCAAAGTTAGTAGTAGTTAACCTTAACAGGGATAAACAAATGAACAACTTCATCAACTCAAAGTCTATCAAAATTTCAGAATAGAATATTTATTAGTTTAAATTATGTAATAAGAAGCTATATATGTACAATATTATAGAAGTAGATAAATAAATGTTCACTCAAAACATTTTTGTAATATTTTACTATTTTTTTTTTGGACTGAGCTGGAAAGATTCGTAAAATCGACTAGGGAAGGTGTCCCTAGTAATGTTGGATTCAACCAAAAGGACCAGAGACATACGCCGACGGCACGATGTCAAACTATGTGACAGAGGGCCCCCTTCGGACATCCCTGCCAGGTCACCTACCAACTAAAAACCACCCCCTCTTCGACCTGTGGTATCCCTGGACGAGTTCATTGGCGAACGAAACATGGGGATACCACGCGCAGACTGAGTTAAAGGTGCCCTTAGGGCTATTTATTTTAGTTACAGCACTTACCTAAAAGCAGTAAGCGTGTAGGGAAGGAGACCTAGTTCCCAAGCGGAGAAAACTTGAGAGCTTAAAAAAGGGGGGTTACCGTAAAGGGTAATATTTGGTACATTTTTGTACAGAAAAGAAAAAGAAAGAAAAAAAAGAATGTTTATGTTTTTTTTATTATTTATTTTTGTATTTGACCCCTCACCCAGCTTGTTCGGCTCTTTCTATTATATATATTCAAAATTCTCTTTGCTGGTCATTGCAATCTGCATGATGTTGTTGGGCGCGATCGCGCCGAATCTATTCTGCAGCCTTTGTTGTTCGTAGGCGAAAACATTACACCGGAAGATGCAATGTTCCGCATCGTCCCTCTAGTCACACAAGGTGCATAATATGTATTCCTTGGTTTTTTTGATGCCATATGTGTAGGATCTGAAAGATTCATGACCGGTCAGGAACTGAGTAAAATAGTAATTTACGCTTTTAAATTTACAGTTGTACCATGCTACAACATCGGGAATAAGCATTTTGGTCCAACGAGCCTTCGTGGTCTGTACCTCCCATTCTCTTTGCCATTCTATAAACATGTTCACTCGTATGGTCCTTCTTACCTGAGGTAGGTGACCGTCATGGGCTTTATACAGCATTTGTCTTTCTTTGGCAAGCAGGTGGATGGGGAGCGTTCCCGCAATCACCTGTAAGGCCAGCGTAGAAGTGGTTCGGTACGCGCTCACCACTTTTAAAAGGGGCTTCCTTTGGGCTCTTGTTATAATATCTTTGTACTTCTGGTATTTCAGTACGTTAATCCAGACGGGAGTTCCATATAGAAGGGTCGATTGCACTACTTGAAGGTACAATTTTCTCTTGTTGCTGCTTTGCCCTCCTATGTTGGGTATTATTCTTTAGATAGCTGCCGTCCGTTTATCCGCCTTCTTAACCACTCCTAACAGGTGTTTCGTATACCTCAGGCCTCTGTCCAAGTCGATGCCTAAATACCTCGCGCAGTTCGTCGGCTCTAATTGGCTATTGCCTATTTGGAAGATCAGGTCGGCCCATTCCTTGGAGCTTTAAGGATGACCACTTCTGTCTTGTGGCCTGCGAGTTCGAGATCATTATTTTCCATCCACCTGTTCACTTTCTCGCAGCATTCGTTTACAATTTCCACAAGGTCCCAGTGCCTGTCGTTAGTGACCAATATGGCAAGGTCATCTGCATAGGCTACTGTCATGGTGTCTCTCCCATAGTCGATGTTTAAGACCCCATTGTACAAGACATTCCACAACGTTGGGCCTAGTACGGAACCTTGCGGTACGCCGGCTGTTAGTTTCATCTCAACATTTCTGGCCACTAAAACATATCTCTCGCATATAAAACGATATTTAGTTTTATAATATTGATCAAATATCCCGAGACTTCAGCGGTTTCTAATTTAGTAATAATATGGTTCCAGTTGGCAGAGTTAAAAACGTTCTTTACATCAAACATTACTAGAGCGGCCCATCTTTTTCTGCTGTTCTTCACAGTGTCTGTAATATGCTTGACCGCATCTATAGCAGATTTTGCTTTCCTGAACCCGTATTATCTGCTTGAGATGATGTCATTTTCTCTCAGCTCTTCTTCAAGGCGGTTCTTAACAATATTCTCATATAGTTTTCCCAGGCAGTCGAGGAGGTATATCGGTCTATAGGCTGTGGCTTCTTCCGGGTCTTTACCAGGTTTGAGTATTAGAGTTAGTCTCGCAAACTTGAGCTGGTTAGGAAACTCTTGTCTTGTCAGCAGCTGATTCAATACGGCTCTGATAGCTTCTGGTTGTGTTTTAACTATCAGTTTTATCGCCTCTGGTGGGACACGATCGGGTCCAGGGGACTTACCTACTTTAATGGACTCTGCAGCTTTGATGAGTTCCTCATTACTTATCTCCTCTGGATAGATATGTGTATTGTACGTATGTTCAATGCTGGGCTTGTTGGGAAAGAGGGTGTTTGCTATGTCTCTTCTTCTATCATCGCACAGGTTGTATGGGGTCTCGAACCTCAGCGTTTTGGTGGCTATTCGATAGGCTTCGCCCCACACGTCATTTTCCAGCGCCTCGCACAAGTCTCGCCTCGCACAGCGACTTTGTTTGGTCCGCCAATCGAGCTCTCTGGAGAGCCGACCGGAACTCCTTACATTTGCCACTGCCAATACGGTGCGGGTCTTCGCAGATTACGCACCAATCTGCCTCATGGCAAGATTCGAAGGTGTGACCCTTCTTTCCACACTTCGGGCAGGATCCCGTACGGTCATTACCGTCGCACTTGCTCACATCATGTGTATATGACCAGCATCTCTGGCACCTCCTGATGCTATACCTCCTTTCCACCTCGCATGTCACGAGGCCGACCTTCAGGTTTCCCCTATCGATGATTCGCCTTGCCGCTTCCGCGGAAAGGACGACCGCCGCTGCCAAGGTGTTATTCCGCATGGGACGCAGCTGTTTGATGGAGTAGCTAGGTTTCCATTTACCCAGCTCCCTCTTTATTCGTGTTCGAGGTCATCCCTCTAGCGTGGATGACTGCCTGCCTCTCCTGGCCTATCAATTTGGCCGATACACCGCTATCCTTGATAATAGCCTTTTTGATCATCGAGGCTGCGTCCTGATCCTTGTCGATTTTAATGAGTAGGTTACCATCACGGGTGCTTCTAAGGCTAAGAACAGCCTCCTTTGCCTCGCAGTTTACTACGGCTTCCTCTACTCCAGTCAGCAGCTGGGAGTAGGTCGTGTCCTTCTTAGACACAATAAATCCATACGTCGGCCTTTCTCGTTTGGTGGCTGTAGTGAATATCGAGACGGAGACACGGGTAGTTTTCCGGAAGATAACTTCCGCCATCTTCCTCATATCAGCCACCGGCATGTAGCTCACATGGTGCAGGGCCACAGTGTCATTTTCTTGCGTTTCCTCCCTGACGCGCTCGAATGCGTGCCAGAGCTCTTCCGGTGTACCGGCTGTGACCTTAATCACTTTGTGGGATTTTGTTTTTTTTATGTAACCTCTCAGGCCACTCAAAACGAGCGTGCCTCTGGAAGTCTGCAAAGGTGCTGACACCTTCTAGGCTCACCTTGGTCACCTTGGTCCTCGCGGGAGGTCCGTGGCAGGCATCGGTCTGCGTGCCGCAATCCGTCATGGTGGGTCTCGGCACAATAGAGCCTTCGGCACACGGAAGGTCACATTGGACGTCTGAGTCCACAGTTAGTTTTTCGATGGGCTCAATAGCATGACTATGCAACCATTCGCGGATGTGCTCCATACGATGGGGTGCATGCCGCTTGAGGAGCTGCTTATGAAGTTCCTTTAAAGGTCTTGCCGTATTTGGGTACTTCTGTATTAAGGAAGTAAGCCGCTCTATTTGTTTTGTCATATCATCTATGTAGTCGAGCATCTCCACTGCTTGACTGCACGGTCTCTTTTTATATACTTCGAAGATCGACCTAACGTACGAGGCTTTTCTCTTTAGATTATGGTCGTCAGGAAGAGAATTTGTTCTCCTCCTGGCTGTGTCTAGTTTTCTTCCTGGATTGCCGCCCAGGTCGCCCGCGGTTTCTTTAGAGAATTTATTAAGCATTTAAATCCCACGAGTAGCTAGGGGAAAAAAAGGTCCTCCATCACAGAGCCCCGCATGTGGTGGTAAGGCTGCTTACAACGGGGTTTCGCCAGACGCCCCGAGGGAACCGTTTGTGGCCCCGTGTCGTGTGATCATTCATCCTTCAGCACGGTTTCTAACTCCTTGGATTACGGATTTTTTCACGCTGGTTTACTCCGTCGGATTTTGGCTTAGGTTTTCTCCTGAGGATGTTGGTCGGGGAAGGAGGGGATCATACTGGCTGTACTCGGCTTATGTGGAAGAAAAAACGGCCGTCGAAGATGTGGTCGTAGACCATGTTTTGACTGGGATGGTGCCACAAACTAAGGGGGTAGCAGTGAAAGCGCTAAGTCCTTCAAGTTCGTCGGGATGCGGCACAGCCAGATGTAAGGGATGGAAGGCGTCGCAATTGGGTCTATTGCGGCGCCTTTTAGCGTCCAGCAGCGGTGTCCGGCGCTTCACCCGGTGCACAGGCGCTGGACGCTTCCATCATCGTCAAGGTAAAATTGCAGTACCGGGAGAGAATATTTTACTATAATCTCCGTCTTAAAACGTGTGCTTATTAACGATTTTATGACTACTGTCAAACATTATGATTGTACATTTTTATTTTTTTATGTCATCTTGGTTCATTATCGAGTACAATATAAGGCTATCGAGTACAATAAACCAGCATATCTATGTTTTATAGACCTGACAAATGCTTTCGATCGCATCCAAGTCGAAGAGGTCATACATCTACTGTATAAGAGAAACATACCAACACAGCCACCTTTACTTCCAAGCCATGAAGTAGAAATTTGGCAACAACGCGTGGTAGTCCGACCGTGGCACGTCAAGTTCCACTAAAACCGTTCTGTGATCTGATACAGTGTTGTCAAGTACACATGACAAACCGGAGTTCGAGAAATTTACAAATACATTAACTAACGTTGTTACGCTGGTATCCGTGACCCTAGTTGGCCAATTGACAAGATTAAAATTAATATTAAAATTCAGTAAAACATTGAGTAGATTAACATGGTCGTTAGTCATATGTCTGGTATCTACATTAAAATCACCACATATTACAAAACGTATATTTGGTTTATATAAATAATTTAAAATACTTTCGAGGTTATTCAAAAAAATACTTAAATCACCAGATGGTGATCTGTAACAATTTAATATAACATATGAGTTATTTTTCTTGTCTTTGAAAGAAGTAATACAATATTCAGAATGTTTATCAACACAATATTGCTTTATCCTAGAGTTGAGTTTGTTATTAAAATTAAGACCTTTTCGAACCAAAATTCCTACGCCTCCTCCTCTTATTGAGTTATCTCGCAAATAACAACTTGCTAGGATAAAACCTTCAATGTTGACGTTCCCAATAGAATTATTTGATTCCCATAATTCCGTTAAACAGATAATATTTATGCTCTTATGAGAAGTAAGTTCTAAAATAACATCACAAGGAATCACGAGGAATTAGAGATTTTTTGATGTCAACAGGAAGAGAGGTTTTATTGATAATGGCTTTTGTTGTTTTCTCCAGACAGGTTGTTGGATTATTAGGAATTGGTTTGTAGTCTGGAGTATTAACGAGATTTAAGAGTTTATTAATGTAAGAAGAAGTGTTTAGGATGACGGTGGCGTTTCCTTTATCGGCGGGAAGAATGACTAGATTTGGATTTGACTGAAGTTCTTTCAGGTCTTTTTTTCTCGGATTGGCTAATATTTTGAATAGACGGCTTTGAGTTTCTAAGAACCCTAGAGATGTCTTGCCTGGTTATTTCAGGGCACCTTCGGAAGATAAACTGGAGATGGCTTCTTCAGTTTGACAGATGATATATTATATCAAAGGTGTCACTGACAAAATCGACAGAATTCTGAAACTGTATTTATGCTCGATTGTCTAGTTTTAAGTGTCTGTTTCACCATCCCTATTAAATCGTTTTTCTTTTTATTAAACTGGTGTAGAAGGCCAGGGTAGGTGTAAGCTAAGAATTTACTGCCTACAATATAAAAACTTTAGAATACCACAAACGAAAATAGTTGTAAGGACAAACGTTACGGGCTTTACACCAACAATAAATTCACGAAGAAATTCATGAATTTATTCATCAATTTCTGTGTCAATAAATTCGTGAATTTCTTGGACGTAAAAGTTTCTTTGACTTCAAATAAATTTTTACATCAAGTGTCATTATTTCAGTAGTACCAATGGTTTTATTATTGGATGTTATTTATTGTTGTTTATTTGAATAAATATATATTTGGATTTGGAAATATAATCAGAATCAGAAAACAATATCGTTTTAAAAAGAAAATAGTGATTAAGATTGTACAAAAAATTATGCTGAATTTGGTAAAGAGTAAGAGCTTGAACAAGAGGTAAACATAAGTGGAAATTACATTTATAATTAGTGAAAACTTTATTTTATTTCAAATAACTTTAACAAGGACAACATAGCTAAAGAAACAGAAAAAGTGGTAATTTGAATTTTTTATATGATAGAACAAGAAAATCTAGCATTCATTACATACTAAAAATTAACTGTAGTTAGTATAAATATTTCAAATAACTTTAACAAGGACAACATAGCTAAAGAAACAGGAAAAGTGGTAATTTGATTTTTTTATATGATAGAACAAGAAAATTTAGCATTCATTACATACTAAAAATTAACTGTAGTTAGTATAAATGTTAATCAATTCATTGTGACTTTTAGAATGATGAAAGCCTTTATTTAAATACAATACCTGCCTCAACCAAGTAGAAGTAAAGAAGACAGAAAGCTACAATACTTTTTATAATCTTTTAACCACTATTCATAATATATTCTCAAGAGATATTTACCTAATATAAATAAATACTTAGCTATGTTTATTGTTAGAATATTGAGATGTGTACAATTCTAATCACAAAGAGATATTGTAAAGAAATGAATACTTAAAATAAATAAAACATGGAAATAACCAGTAATACTTTACCACTAGTTTGTGAGCTGATTCTTTACAATTTTAATGATTTGTCTTTAACATATTACAATTTGCTTTATTGAATAGTGGGGTAGGTTAGGACTAAACTAAATAGGTGTATAAAAATACAATAATTTTTAAATATTATATAATTTAAATAATAAATGAAGAATCATAATAACAGGAATAAAAGCTAGTTTTAATATTTGTTATACACAAACAACTATGATTTTTTTCTAAATAAAAACTGTACAGATTTTATCCATAGGATATGGAATCCTGCACTTTTAAAGGAAGATAGTCAATTTGAGAAGAAAACTATGAATAATAAAGTATGAGAATAAGAAGAATGAATAAGAAAGAACAAAATTAGTAGCAGGCCAACGGCTTCATGTAGAAAAAGAGCACAACAGAAACATGTCAGAGAAATGGAATTGTTGAAGAAAAGAAATAGATTTATTAGGTTTAAAAATTAAATTATACAAAGAAAAATTTAATAAAAAATAAAAAAAAGTTCTATGTATATTAATGATTCTTCCGAGGTTTTCCCATAACACAAAAATATTTTATAGGGTTCTCAAACACCTTCAACTTAAGGAAGTTCAATAACGTCTTTATTTAGCAATTCATCTTCAAAATTGTCTCCACTTTGATTTTTTAATTGAATCATTTCAACTATACAGCCACTTTCATTGGCTAAAATTGGAAACTTTCTTCTTCCATACACATTATGTTAAATATCTGGAATTCATTGCACAAAATTTCAGGATATCTTAGTGGACAGTCTGAATGTGAATTTAAAATCTAATCAATAATATAGAATTATTCATACCTGGTTAAAAAAAATAGATGAGTGGACTCAATGCAAAGTTAATTTAAAAATCCTATCAATCATACAATATTATTCGTACCTGGTTCAACAGGAAAATATATCCAGTATCACCAAATTATCAGAATTTAAAATGTCTAAATTCTTTTTTTTTGAAAGTTGCTGTTTTTGAGAATCATGAGCGGAATGTGACAGCCTAGGTAAAACTATATCACCACTATATCATTATACTATATCACTCCATACTTTTCATTTTGCAATCTTATAATACTTGGCATTTCAAAGAAAACCATCCTTTCCTGTTTCAGAAATAAATAGCATCCATATCTCTTGGAAAACGTTGATTAATCCATTTTTAAACTTGCGACTAGACCAAGTAAAAGATAGGAGTGAAGAAAAAGGTAGAATTATATAATTTTTATTAACAAATATTTACTATATATCCTCAAAGCCTTAAATAAATAATATTTGAAAAAAAAAACATGTAAGAACAATATTTTAATATAAACTAGAGTTTTCTGTCTCGAAATTTTATGTTTTTCCTAAAAAAAATACATAATATTATTTTCTGTCTTTTATTATAGAATAACTTACCTCTGTTCCATAACTATTACTTGACACACGACTTAAAAATGCAAAGTTCAATTTGGTTCAATAATCAAAAACAAAATAATTATTATCCCTACTTCGCGCCAAATCTACACAGGTTGGTAATACTAAATTCACGTCCAATAAATGAGAAAAATAGAACATGTTCTATTTCGTCAATTTCTTCACGAAGTTATTCATGAATTTATTCACGGCAAAATTGGATGTCAAATTGTGCTTTACACCGGTCAAATTTGACCTTGAAGCGACTTCACGAATTTCTTCATGAATTTATTGTTGGTGTAAAGCCCGTAAGGCGTCTCGTCAAAATTAGTTTGTCAGTAATAAATAAATGAAAATGGGCCTAGCATCCCGGGCTATGCTAATGAAAAACCAAATAAAATCTCTATCTTATAGGTGTAGGCTGTAGGTAACATATAACAAGATAAAATAAAAATTTGATTTTTTTTCCACCAAGTAGGCAACCAACACATGACATCGTATGTACTGGCAAATGTCAAATTTCGATTAAAAACTTGTGATTGTGATACCGACGAACCGACGTCATTCACTATTCATTCATTTCATATAGTATAGGGTCATAGGGGTGTCATAGGTCTGTCACATTTCAATTTCGTGAAAGACCGTCTTTTAAATGACCTAGAGAAGGATATCGGTGAGTCGCTCTCGAATTCACATCAAATTTACCATAAGCACAACACATAACTAAAGAGAAGTACAAAATTAAATACAATTATTTAAAATGTTCCGAACGATCATATTACGAAATGATGTTGCCAAAGAAATTTTTAAACAATCCCTCCGATCTAAGACTTTGAGAAATGTTTCCATAGAATGCTGCAAACGAAGACATTATCACAGGTATTTAAATTTATATCCTCCGTTTGTAATTTACGTAATGTTTTCTTGTTTGCCGATTATGTAATAGGGTCCTAAGCCTCTCATAACTTTTAACATGTTTAATAAATTTCTAACCTGTACTCAGTAGTACACATATTGAAAAAGTATTTTTCCCTAATTCCCTTTATTTCTATATTGGATGTTTATAGTGTAATTAGAGAAGTCAGCGCAGTAGTTTCAAATATAATAAGACATAATCACAGTTTCGATGTAACAATTTCATTTCCTGGTTCAGTAAATACAAGAATTTCGTTTTTTAAAATTTATTGCAAAGCTTTTGATAGTTAATGTTCAATTCCGTGCTGGTCCATTTTATGAACTTTTTTTGTAATTCAATAAATTCATTTCATTAAAATTATTATTGAAAGACAACATGCAATAACACTCCTCACTGATCCACATATTGGTTTGAATTTAACTAATTCTATTTAAATCTGTCTATTAAGTCTGCATGCTTAAAATGTATTACATGCTTAATATGATTATTAATTGTAAACCATGTACTTTAATATTAGAATGTATACTTTTGATTTTGTATTTTTCACTGTAATTTGTTATTTTGGCTCTAATATTTTGATCAGAGAATTTGGAGACCATTTTGTATTACATTATTTGTAAATTATAATATGAAGAGCTCTCCTCAGGAATTTTTGTAGGATTTGCAAGTTTGAGTTGCTAGCAGAATATTGATTTTACTATTGTTCTCAAGCTATTTTCTTGTGGCATCTTAGTGCAATTTACTATTTTTGTTGGGGATAAGCCACAATTTTACCATAAAATAAGTTTATTTGATGTTTCGATTCTACTTCTAAAATTGTTTTTTTTTTTACTTAAATAAAAAACTTTGGAATTAAAATCTCTCAACTTAGCAATCCTTTTCGTTTATGTTTTAAGGTGAATTTTTCGAAACTGTATTGTACAATATTATTGTCATTTTGTTCTTTTTGTTTATAATTTAAGGAAAAACCTTCAACTGTGTTGTATGTCCTTTGTATTTTGTTTTTGTTGTCAAAGTAGTACACAGAAACACATTGCTGTAGCCAGTGTTCTTAAATTGAATTCATACTGTAATGACATCAAAAGTTGACAAAAATGTAAAAGTTGACAACTAATAATGTTTGGTGGAGTACAGAAAGCCTGAAGATAACTTTTGGGTCCAGTAGAACTTAATTTGGCATGGTATACTACTCACATCCATAAATCCCAATATTTCTTGTAAGTGCTTAAATGCACAGACAAATGGTGCTGTTGCTGCTCGAGCAGTGCATTGAAATCTGCCTTTCTGGATTTCGTGCAGCCAATGTGCCCAATCATTCAAATCCCAAGTATATAATTTGATCTGTCGCACCCACTGAAAGCATTTAAGCAGGTGCCCTTCTCTTTTATCTATTACTACAATGTGACTTCAAGATCAGAATATGTGCAATCAGTAGGATCTATTTCACATCCCACACTAGTGCATCCTGCAGCGACTTGCTGTCAAAAGGGCAAATGAGGTTCTCTGCATTGTGTGCTACAATAAAACATCGCCTGAGGATACTGATTGTCTCAACTAGGACAAAGTTGATGCAAGTAGTTTAATAATTCCAGAACCCTCAAGAGTTACAAGCTTTTAGTAGCCAATGCAAGAATTAGGCTAAAACGAATAGAAAATGATGAAAACAATCTCATGAAAGAAATGAAAATATAATGTAGTAACTAATAGGTCAATGGATGACGGAAGAAATAGTAGACCTTTTTGAATAAAGAAGGCAATACAAGGATAAGGCAGACGAATACAGAAAGAACAAAGAGAAATACAAAAAAAGATAAGCTTGGCTAAAGTAAAGCGGCTTCAGAAATAGAGGAATTAGAAAAGAAGCATGATATGTTCAATTTGTAGCCCAAGAAGGTTTATGAAGATTCTGGCCTGTAAATTAAGAAAAACACTAACACTCTAGTAATACATGAAAATTTGTCATTTATGAATGAGAAATATTTGAAACACTGTAAATTTAAAATCTGAATTTCTTTATACAATAATATCAGTCAAAACCAAGAAAGCAACTGGACCATCCAACATCCAAGCTTCTTCTTTTTCATGTACCATGACCTTTCAGAATGTTTGTTACCATTATAACCATGGACGTATAAATAAAGATGGATTAGGCATGCATTGCACTCTGTTCACCTAAATTTGAAGTTGAAAAGTTTATAGGCGCGGGGAAAGAGACGAAGTGATAGACTGTGACATTACCTTTTAAATCAGCGGCATACCTTCCAATATTTGAAAGTTATTTGAAACAGTTTTTTCACTTGAATAAATAATGACTATTGGTTTGCTTGCTTTTATTTTTAGTATCGTAAACATATGAAATATTTCGAATAAGTGAGAAACAACAAACGGTGAATAATTTTAATTTTCAGTGTATAGAAATATATTTATAAAAATTAATTTACACAAAAGAATAAAGATGGAGTAAATAAAATCGTAAAGTACATACTTTATATAATATTTTATTTAAATTAAAATATCACACAAGCAATAAAAAGTTTAAAAAACACTTCCTCAAACATTAACCTGAGTGATAAGTTGAAAACAATATAGTGAATTATGATGTATAACTCCAGCTTAATTGTTAGTTGGCAACATTAGTATGTCACGTTAGACATAGCAGTAGACAGAAGAAAGATAAAAATTCAGGAATATGTATTTAAGAAAATATTAATAAGCGTAATAAAACCATAAACCATTGTTTAACAAAACATAAACAACAAACCACATATACAACTATATATAAAACACATTAAACCTTATGGAACGGGTAGGGTTCTAAAATAGAAATATACTTTATTGTCACTGAAAATTTACAAAAAGTAAAAAAAAAACAACAATAAAAATTAAAATTTACTAAAATTATAAAAACTCGTCAATATCACAAAATAAAAGTTAGTAAAATATACAATTCATTGCAAGATCTAATTGTTGCATAATAAAACCTTACGAAGTAGTTTACGAATAAGTTTTAGTTGCTGCATGTGATACACAAATATATATATATATAATATTATATATTATATATATATATATATATATATATATATATATATATATAATGAACTAGAAGTATTTGCTGACAACAAGGAAGTAAATTTTCAATATTGGGTTTGCAGCAATAAAAATGATACGTGTACTCTTTTAAATTTTTATTCCGAGCTTTCGGACATGGTTATGTCCCGGTGGATAATATATATATATATATAATAATGACTGATATGATACTGATATACAATGAATGATACAGATAATGACAATGGATATATATATATATAATATATATATATATATATATATATATATATATATATATCCATTGTCATCATATCCATTGTTATCATATATATATAATATATATATATAAATATATATATATATATATATATATATATATATATATATATATATATATATATATATATATAATGACAAGGAAAGTAAAATTTTAGACAACGCGGTGTTGCAGCAAGATTGGATTAATTCCAAACACCTTAATACAATAAAAATGGAAACCTAAATTAGGTTTTTGGTTTTCGTATAGTATCAAAAAAGGGAAATTTAAACTGGCAATCATAATTATGATAGAAATGGGAAATTATTTTGAAATTGTTTTTGGATGTGGCAATGTATGATTAGATGTTTTTCTAACATATTTATATGCCCTCATAGAATAAAATGATAATGTGAGTGCAAAACTTCTTAAGGCTGGAGTATATTTTTGTTTCTTTGGACCTTTTAACATTTTTTCAAAAATATCGTTAACACTAACCTTCAATGGCCATTCAGAGTTTTCATTAAGCAATAGCTTTTTTTCAATAATGTTAAAAGTGATTTTAAAGATGTAATTTTTGATCTCAGTTTTCTTAAAGATTATTGTAAATACTTTATATTACTTTTTTGACTCTTGACAGTATTTTTTAACACTAAAATGTTTCTTGGCTTTTTCAGATGTTGAAAAGTCGCTGCTAGACATGTCTTTAACGGTTTTATTTCTAAAACATAATATACTTAATTAGATAATCATAATCCTTGTTTTTATAAATTAAACTAAAAACTCACTTTTTATAAAATATTACGTGGAACATATGAAAAAGTATTATCACCAAGTAACAACTCTACAGTTTCAGTTTCTGATGCTGTAATGGTGCTCGAAGATGCGTTTTCTGTATCTATATTTTCCTTGTTGTCTTCATTGTCATTTAAACTACTAGAATATTCAATTTATGTACATTAAAGAAAAATATTAAAATTGGTTTAAGATTGAAATAATCTCATATAAAATTTAACCAAAACTCACCTCTTTTTTAATAGTTTAGGAGAATTAGATTTTACATTAAAGCCCAAGTCTGTCTCCATATTACATTCTTTAGTATCAATAAAACTTCTAAAATATTTTAATATTAAAATGAAATAAGTAATCAAAATCCACATTTAGATTTTATTTGTAAATTTAATAAACAAATTCGATAAAAAACCCACCTTTTTGAAGGTCCATAAAAATCATCCTTATCAATACTACTGAAAGCTGTTGCTTTATTTTCCATATCGTTTGTAGAATTGAAACATTGAATTAATAAAAAAAAAAAGAAAAAAGACATGCTATCAATAATATGGAATATACTACGAGTATGCATTATATTTGGTTAAATTTAATTTTCGTACAATGAACATAACCTATAGATATGTTTGACGTTAAATGTAAGCTTAATATACGTCAGTGTTGCCATATACTCAATGGACCACAGGAGTGATGACGTATATTTGATTGACATCTGTCAGTTTCACTTTCCAAACAAACGTTGTTTAGTGTGGATAATTTGTATTTTTCGTGATTTTTTCATTTATTTTATAGAATCTTTCCGCTTTTTGCAATATTTAAGTATTCTAATAGTTACTACAATAATTTTACAAGGTTGTGTAAATA